ATTATTTATTTATTAGGCATCATTCATCTATTATATATCCAAGTGAATCACTTTAGCTTATCAAATTCGAAATAAATAACATAATTCAGGCAAATTTAGTTTTGATTATATTCAGGCATTCATCGCGAATTCCCGGAAATAACAACATAGCAATATTATAATTTGATTTTGGAATAATTATATTTCTCTGAAGAGATGACTAACTAAAATGTAAATATATATTGTCCCGAAATTGAAACATCATTTTATTTATATAATTATATTAAGCAAGCATTCATATGTTTTTTCACGAATTTCGCCCATTCGCTGTCAATATATTTATATAAATGTATATACAGGCAAAGTAAATACATTTACAAATTAAAAGGCGTATTCAAAGTACAAAGATCAGAATGCTAAACACTCTTACATCGAATGCTCAATGAGTGACGCCGCTGCCCTGTTGCCTGACCAACATGTAAATATGCATACATACATAAGTAAAACTAAATAATACACAAAGAGAAAAATACAATAATAACAAGAAAAACAGACAGTTTCAGCTACTTTGACAACTTCGTGCAGAGAATACAAACAAAAACAAATACCAAATACAGAGAAACCGGAAAAGCAAAATTAACAACAAAGCAAATAAATCGCAAAACTTCACACGAGTCAAAATATATCTGTATATATACATATATACTATATTTGTGTGCATAAAACATATATGTATGGTTATTATGCTGTTCAGCTTGCTATAAAGAAACGTAAACTCGGAAAAAATCAATGCGATATGCGGGGCCCCAAATGCCACTTCAGACCTGCCTCCAATATATGTATGTATGTATATGGGGAGGGGCCCTGAAACTGAAACGGGTTTGCGAACTTTGGACTCCAACTGCGATGCTGCTGCCTGTATGATGAATCATCTGCACAAGACCCATAATAAATAATGCTTATCTTTTGTTTGAGTTCTCTGTTTAAAATTTGTGTTTTTATAGCTTAAGTGAATGGAAATTATCAACTGTAAAATGAATTTTCAAGGGTGTAAATCAATCTAACAGCATTTTATATTTATTTGTACTACTTTCTTTCAAATTTAAAATATTGTTTCATAACTTAGGCAAAGTCATTCAGTAGACGTTTTAATTGTGTTAACTTTTGTTTATTTTTATTTTTTATTTTATTTTATTATTTTCTTTTTTATCACTATTTCTCAGCTTTTATGCACGTGTTTGACATTTGAAATGTTTTAAATATATGCTAGTGCGTATTATTAGTATTAAATCATTGATTGACAGCCTGACGGAGTGCCGCCTGTGCCGCCGTCAATCAGTGCCGCCCTCCCGAGGCATTGCGAATGGGTGAAAGTGAACACAGTTGATGTTACCTATGTATACCCTTAGCCCATTCCAAGTGGGTATAATGGTTTTCTCAAAGTGTATGTAACGGGCGTGGCGTTTGATAAACGTAACTTAAATGCTGTTTATAATTATAATAATATGTTTTATAATTGTCAATATGTTGTAGAATGAGTGGAATATAAGTTATTTTAAGGCTCAGGGGATCTGCTAGTCGAGCAGAGAGAGCACTCATACTTGCTATGACAGTTGCTGTTGCTATTTTCGTTAGTAATATTATCATTATTTTTGTTGTTTTTGTGCTTATTTTTGCTCTTGTATATTTTAAACAATTTTTACAATTTTTGTTTTTTTTTTTTTCAAATTTTGTGCAATTTATTTGAGTGCATAAATAAGCAGCGGAAGTTGTTTAAGTTGAGCGAGGCAAGCGGCAACTTTTTAGTGCTATTATTATTGTTATTGTTGTTGTTGTTGTTGTTGTTGTTGCCATTGTCACTCAAAAGGTCAAAGTCAGATTTGGTCATCCAAACGCCGCTTTCATAATTGGCACTATTTCTCCTTGTTGCTGTGTGACAGTTTTATGCGTTGATGGTTGGATGACTCACATAGAGAAGAGCAATTGAGATGTTCAGAACAAAATATAACCATATGTATGTGTATATGTGTATGTGAGCTATTGTGAGCAGTTACTACACCTCTTGGAATTCAATTCGGGTCATTCAAATGCCTCAAGGAAAGTAGATTTTAAGCAGCTTATTGCGATTGTGCTGCACAGAAATGCCCGAAGAAATGCCGAAAGACATTAAAGCCAAAAAGCCGATTGATCGAAGGTTAATAAAGCATTAGATTTGTGATGGGATTTTTATTGTTTTTTATAGAAAATTAAATGCAATAAATTGAATCTGTCAATGTGAACAATATTATTTATCAGTATTAATCAATCTTGAAAGTGGTTAACGATGTCAATCCAAATTCAATAACAAATTGTAGATTGAGAAGAAGATACGGGCTTATATATGGTCTTATATCATGGACCCGCATATAACAAGAATTCTAATTGAATTCATTATATATTTTTCAAAATTGATTCAAATGATTAATGACGTTAGGAAAGTGAAAATTCTTTACTCAATTCTATTTCTATTCCATAAAAGAGAAGAAAATATAAAGCAAAGCTCAGAGTACCGTTGCATGCTAAGCGTAACCAATATTATTATTTTATTATTATTATTAT